TCAGACATATGCACCCACAGTGTGACAGACCTACTTACTTGGGGTCCCATCTCCAGCGATCATTCTCGGTCATCCTGCGCAGTTCACTGGGAAACAGCTGTGTCAGCGCGGGTCACTGGTTCCCGCCAATCAAAAGGGTACTGCAGTACTACATGGTGCAGATGATCGTTGGGAAGGGTACGAGGAGTACACACCAAAGCAGGTCTTGGGCATGCATGTCAAGGATGACCGAGCCTCAGCAAAGTAGGGCTGTTGGTGCCTAGATTGCACGAGTTGAAAAGGCGATCAATCATGTCACCCATCATTGCAGCTGAGTGAGCATGAGCACTGCCACATAATCATCCGGAGGAGAAGGATTCAAGGAAGCACACAAACTGGTGGCTTGATGCGTTCCGACGGCGTTCCGCGGTCGCGTCCACATCGAACGCGAGCCGTTCTGGTGGTTTTGCACCATGCTATTGCTAATGGTATATATATCCAGGCAAGGGCGATGACTTGTGTTGGGCGATCGATGGCTCCGGATTAAGTATGTAGACCAAATTCTGTAGTACGTTACAGTAACGGATCAAGACATGTCTCTGGGGAAAGAGCGAGGGGCCAGTGGTATAGTTACAAAACGACATCGTCGAGGCGAATGAAGTCCAGCGTGTCTCGTCCGCATAGGTGTGTGCATCTTACACCACGCCGAGGATCTGCCCGACGACGCTCGCGAAGGTCTTGTTTGGGTCATAGCGCTCGCGCACCGCAGCGAATCTGGCGAGGATCTGTTCGCGTTTCCGCCGTTTGTGAGCATAGTTCCAGCGCGTAACGAGAAGGCACGACGCAACGCACATCTTTGTCCAGGTTCTTCAAGCTCTTCTGGAAGATCTCGCGCGTGTTCTTCGTCCAGTGCGGGCGCGCCGGGAACTCGTTGATCAGTGTCTCGGCCAGGTCCGCGTCTACGCAGGATCATTCAGCAAGACGAACGATATTATCCAAGTCAGTGCCAGCACCGGCTACTACTAGCGATGAGAGGGATGGAGACGCACAGAAGGGTTCGTTGTAGCGCACGCCGCTGTCGGGGAGGTACGACGGGAAGTCGAACATGATCGTGCCCTTGCTCCAGTCTGCGTCCGTGTTCTTCGGGAGTGTGCTCGTCTGACTCAAGAGGTCGTCGAACTATGCAGGACGCCGTCAGTGAAACTCCATCATGGGATCCACAGGCGCGCGAGTGCTCACCACCTCTCCGAACTTGATGTTGATCCCAGACCGGTACGTCGAGGTCATGAGGTGTCCGTTCTTCTCGCTCTCGTCAAACTTCTCTCTTATGCGTTTCAGCACGGCGTTTGCCTGCGTGACGGGGAACGCAAGTTCGAGGGTCTTGCCGCGCAGGTTGTAGTCCCACTCCGGGAGCGTGTTTGGGTACAGGCCGCCGATGAGCGAGTCATAGCTCCACCCGTTGACCGGCCAGAAGAGGAACGGGAGATCCGTGCTCTTGTCGTGGAAGTTCGGTAAGGACCAGATCGTGAAGAAGGTGGTCTCGGTGAGGAGGTTGACGGTGGAGCTGTTCGCGCCGCCCTCGAGTAGGGTCTTGGCCGTGTTGCCCTCAAAGGAGGAGACGGAAAAGGTGCTTTGGAAGCCCTCGCCGAAGGCGTTGTTCGGAACGACTTCGTAAGTGCGCTAGGACAAAACAGTTCAATGAAGTCGGTTGATGTTGATGGAGGGAACAGAGAAGCGTACGTAGTGGAACTTCTTCTGCCCAGGCCACCACCAGAAGTTCGCTGTCGGGTAGGGGCTGATCAGACCGAAGATATCGCCGTCCAGTACATCGTCTTCCGAGAGGCTGATATGGCAGTGATTAGGAACCGAAACAGCCTGACATATAAAGAAGGATAGCACGCACATCTTCTGGTCCGCCTTCAACTTGAACTCAGGGAAGATCTTCACCGTTACCCTCGAAATGACACCCAACAACCCCAGACTCGTCGTGGCCGCGAGCCAATCCTCCGTACCCTCATGCTCAGCCTTGGTCAGCTGCACGAATGTGCCATTCGCGAGCAGCAACTCAATGCCCAACGCAGCACCGGCGACGAGGGCCGGCTGAGACAAGGAGGTGCGGTGCGCACCCATCGCAAGCGCGCCCGCGACGGTGATGTTCCAGTTGACGAGCGAGTAGCCAATAGAGGCGTTGTGCGCGTGCAGGTAGTCCGCGAGCTCGAAGAAGGTCACGCCTGCTTCGATGACGACGCTGCCCGTGCCGGCTGTTTCTCGGAGAAATTAGTACCACACTGGAACTGCTTGAGCTGCAGGATAGGGAAGGCCACTGGGGGGGGGAGGAGGACGTACATTCGTCGGGTGCGATGAAGTTGCTGATACCTGAGAGACCCTCTGTGACGACGATCACCGTGTTCGGGTCATCTGTGCACATCGTGTCTGCAAGCAAACCCGATCCGAAGTCTCAGAACACATTCTGTAGGGGTTCTCTGAGGACGTTACGCACCGTACCACATGTGGCCCTTTCCGGACGCACGCACGGGCACGCCCGCGGAAGACGCGTTCTGCACGATCGAGGCGAGCTCGTCGATCGTCGTGGGGTGGTACACCGCGGCAACTTCATTGCACGCAGGGAAACCGGGGCCGTCGAACGTGTTATACGGGTCCGCGCGCGCAGCAGGGGCGAGAGCGGCGACGAGTGCCACAGCAAGCAGGGGGAGAGAGCTCAAGCTGAAGCGGGCCATGGCGAGCGAGTCTGTTCAGGAGTCAAGAGTCTGCTGCGAAGCCGCCGTTGTCGCTCCCGGTCCCGGGTTTATAAGGCGCAAGCAGCAGATCCAAGTGAGAAGCAGTGGTGATCAGGTCCATGTGCTCGCCGTGCTCCTGGAGGCCCTTCCCCTGCAGTGTTCGCCGGGAGCTGTGCGCAAGAAGGACCCATCTGACCTGCAAGAACATCAGGACCTCACGCGGGATGGTGATGGCTGCTCGCTAAGGCCCCGCGCTGCATACCTGGAGTTTAAGCTTTGTCTGATGTTTTCCCAATTTTCGGGCCTTTCTACTAGCTGTCGTCATGAGAGAGTGCGAATGAAGGGAAGACGGTTACAACTTACAAGTCATGCGTCCACGCTAGCGCAACCGCCAGGCAACCGCCGAACTTCGTCACTAGCCGCTCAATTGGCCTTTCCGGGGTCCTCGCACCTCGAGATACGAAAGGTGGCCGGCTCCGTGATGAGTCTTCATGGGCCGCAAATGAGAGCAGTATAAGTGCGACGCTCTGGAATGAATTGTCACAGTCAAAAGACCCTCGCGTGAAGTCAGTAACCATTCCCTCTACAAGTCCGCGAAGCGCTTGACATACCTTTTGTGGACAGATAATATGTTCCCACGGTAGAAAGGGACCCGGACAACCCCAGAGCTTGAAGCTTCTTGAGATCCAGTACCATGCGGAGGTCATACATAGTACTTACTCTCGTTGACGCCACCCTTCCAACAAAGCATCACAAGCAGATTCAGTGCTACCAGTCACTGAACATGCCGAAAGCTCAGCGCCCAGTCGTCCGTCGCATTGGTAACTTCTTGCAACCAGACATGACATTGAAAATGGTCCCGGGCCCATTCTCCGAGGCTTCCTGAACAGATACGCCATCGTCGCAGACCTCCAACTGAACCAGATGGATCCGGAGAGTACAGCTCTGATCAGCCACGCGGAAGGATCTCCTAGCCAGACATGTGCTATTCCCGGTGAGGTACACGTTCTCATCCGAGTCTGAATTCTCTATATACTCCCCAGAGTCGTGGATGCCTTCCAAACGCGTCCCACAACGAAGTTTGGTAGACGGATGGCTCCATCCGGTAGCGGCGTCCTATGCATGCATACCCATCCCCAATATGTCACATCGCATCGGGCGAGGGCACGGATTACGCGCTCTTCTCCGTGCAAGGCACATCCGTTCGTCGGCCCTTTCCCGCCCTCGTCTTCTACGAAGTCGCATGAGACTAGAAGGAAATTGAATGTTCGCTGAATAGAATTCACGGGAGAATCAGACGCGTCGGTTGTCCGGTGACTGTGTTCACCGTTGACATCGAGGACGGACGTGACCTGTCTCGCTTCTTCCGGACCATCGATGTGGCCAGCAAAGAGGGTGGTTTTGTTGGTCCGGACCGTGGCCTAGTTCCAAGATGCTCGTTCCCATGCTCGGTCGGCCCTGCTTGTATCAGCCATATTAGCCCTCCTCTCCGGCGATAGCCCCGCTAGGACGCCATGCTCTCCCTCCTCTTAGCTCCGGCAGTTGCTCTCATGGCTGCGCTGATCTCAGCATCGCCCATAGGTCTCAGTACTGGTAGCTTGCCTCCTTTCAGCGCGCAGTCGGGCGATTGGGGCCATCCAAAGGTACGCCTGAATAGCGCTCTCCGGACTTCCGCCTCTCATCAGTATGTCATTTCTTAGCACGACCTTGGAGCGGCATACTTCTGCACGGGCACCAATTGGACGGGACTGTGCGATATCGCGATCCAACCTCTCGATACGTGCAACATCCTCGAGCGACCATGGAGAAACCGTGTCGCTAGCTTCACACCCGCCCCGTGTATCATGTGCTTTGGTGCGTCTATCTGTCCGGTACACTTCCACCCGCCAGCAACTGACTGCCTGCCTTTGCCGCAGCATACGAGTGAGTCGGATAAGGCAGTGATTGCATGCCTTTCGTCATACTCACGGATCCCGCTCGGGTACCCACCTGCAGAACCCGCCACTGTTCGTTCGGAAGCGGATTCTTCTGGATGTTCCAGTTCCCCGGGAACGCGACGGGTGGCATTGGGACCCCAAATAACGCGTGGAACACGCGAGTGCAGTCGTTCAGGTGTTGGAAATCTCCCGACTGCGAGCCAATTTAGAGCCAGTTGGGCGGCGTTGAGCTAGACTTGTATCAGTAACGAATGACATCTTGGAACCTTTGGCCTGGTGTAGGATTGCTCTCTTAGCGAATACGTGCTGCAATAGCTCTGTATGCAGTTGCGTGGTATGTTGTCACGGCCTAATGGTCTAGAAGTATGATTCTCGCTTTGGGTTGCTACCAATCTGCGAGAGGTCCTGGGTTCAATTCCCAGTTAGGCCCTTCATTTTAGTCTGCCCCCGGCACAACTAAAAAGTGTTTTTGTTTCAACTTTGTGTTTTGATCTAACCTGGTGAATCATGGTAGCATTCAACGGTCACTCGAAGTGTGGTACTAAGTGGTTGACTCGGCTGAGACGTCAGAACTGTCTTGTAGCGGCGGTATGGATCGCAATCCATCATTATTCAGGGTAGTGGACCTGTGCGATTTGTGAACTTGTAGGATGAAATACCGTGGTCATCTATCCCATCAGGATTTTCGCTCATTTTCTCTGATCCGACAGTGACTGAGTATGAGTACAATAGAAACTTGTCGTCCTTCGATTTGACCTTCCCGTCCCTCACGTTAATTGTTGATGATACCCGGGCCGCTCTACCAAGCGTGAAGTCCACCGCTCACAACAATACTACAAGCAATGTCAACATTAACGCCGCACAACTCAGGAGAACGGTCACGTACTCGCTGCCAGTACAGTACGAGCTCGCGTCACTCGCAAGCCACGTAACAACCCCGCGGAGCTCGTCTGGCCGCGCAAGCCTATCAAGCGGGATTTCGCTACACCAGCTCTCCACCAGCTCCGGACGTGTGTCGAGAAACTGGGCGGTCATCCTGCGCAACACGTCAGATACAGTAGTCAAGCCAACCATAAACGCGACACATTGATGAGTCCATACCGAGTGAGAGTATATCCTGGGCTGATGGTGTTGACTCTGATCTTCTTGGGACCGAGTTCGCAGGCCATGCTTCGGGCCATCTGGAGCACTGCGGACTTGGACGTGTTGTACGATACCCATTCGTGACCCTAGCGTAGCGATGTCAGCATCTTCGACTTTGCGCGCACGGTGTGGGGATGTGGATGCGAACTTTGTTCGTCCCACTGCCGCTGATACTGCCCAGCATGATGATGCTCCCGCCGTGCCCGAAACGCTCCATTTGCTGCCCGGCGGCCTGCGCTGTGAACAGGACCCCATTCACGTTGACGGCGTGGACCTACAGAAACCAGTTCGGTTAACGGACAATCGAAACTGCATTCCGATGCTTACGTCTTGAAAGTCCTTTGCTGGGTAAGTGAGGCAGGGCGCGTCGGGCCTCAAGATGCCAGCTGCAGCAACGCAAACGTCCATTCTGCCCTCACGGTCTCCTAAGCTTTTCCCAAGTTTCCACATAGCATTCTAGGGACATGATCAAGTACATCAGTGCGCTCAGGTCGCTCGCCCGAGGGCACACTCACCTGATCGGTGACGTCCGCGCCAATGTACTCGAGCCGTGCATCGCCACCGGTACCCTGCATGCGCGACACATACTCGCGCACCTTCGTGAACTCCTCTCCTGGCTGAGAGGGCAGGTCGACACAGTAGACGACGCGCGACCCAGCCTCGACCAGGGCGAGCGCCATCTCCAGTCCGATCCCGCGGTTCCCTCCCGTGACCAGTGCCACCCGGTCCGCGAGCGAAAATTCGTGTTCGAACAGAGTCGGAGACGTGGCTGCATGCGAGCGAGTGGTCGTGAGTACGATAGACAAGGCTTCAAAGGAAACTGGACATAGCCTTACGAGCAGTGGAGGGCGCCTGAAGTGCTTTCGTTACACCGACCGGGCCGTAGGGAGGGAGAGGACCTGTCATGCGATCGCGCGCGGAGAGCAGAGAGGCACGGCTGGTCGAGAAGTGTACCCGCATGCTAGAACGAGTGCAGCACGCGCGGCGCACGCCTGGGAATGCGAGTTTAGAAAGCATCTTGAGGCTTGCTGTTGGGTCCAGGCGAGGCAGCTGGACGACCTGGAGTGGGGAGTTACATCGCTTCGAGTGCCGTCTTTCGCTCCTCTCTTATACCCTCCCACATGCATGGGAGAGACAAGCATTTGGATTTGGAAGAGAACTTGCGAAGGCGCGTCACGGGTCCGAACAGCCTGGTCCAGGGGCAGTGACGTATCGAACTTGGCACTGTGGGGGATGACTCACGATCATCACGATACGTTGAGGACGTGAAGTCTGCTTCGAACGACAGTGGCAGGACATGTGCCACCTATATAGACATCGCGAACTTGAATCTTCGCGAGCGGTTACCATGCACTGTGTTCGCCACCCACGATAATGCTGGATCATAATACGGATTAGTCGCTTTCTCCGACGACTCGGACAACAGGTGATAATCACTCACTCACTACCATCGCAGAACGAGCTGGCGTCACTGGAGAGCCAATCGATTGCCACACCTCGCAGCCTAGTGTAGAATGAAGAGCGTCACCAGCTGACATTGGGAAATGCCGGATATAGTATATGAACGACGTCCGAACGAGGCCGGGGCTGAGGGAGTTAACTCGAATGCGCATGAAACCTAGCTCACATGCCATACTACGAGCCATCTGTAGGACGCCGGCTTTCGTTGAGGAGTACGAGACGCTATTGACGATGAGCTGTGGGCAGAGTGGGGGACATTCAGCACGAGTCTGGCCATAGGCTCATCATGTGTGCCATTTAGACCAATAAGGCTTGCGATAAGCACGATGCTACCTCCGTTGTCGAGCCGGACCATCTGCCGACCTGCTGCTTGCGCAGCAAATAGTACGCCCTTCAGGTTGACGTCGATAATCTGTTGAGCATAGATGAGCAAGTTCTCATCAGATGCCAGCAAGAAGTAAGTTCACCTGCTGGAACTGGGTCCCAGAGTAATCCAGGCAAGACGTGGGAGTATTCATAATCCCAGCTGAAGCGATGCACACATCCATTCTACCCTCTTCATCCCCGATCATTTCACCAACCTTCTACATCCCTTCCTGTGAACCGCATAGGTCACGCTGTCAGTACACAGTAGCGCTTCTGTAGCGGTAGTAAACGTGTCGTGCCTCACCTGATCGCGTACATCCCCACAAACGTACTCGGATTTCCCTAAGCCTGTACGGGTGACAAAATCGCGCGCGTCCTTCCATTCTTTCCCAGGCTCCTTGCCCGGGTCGAGACATTACACGATCGCGCGCCTGCTTCTGCGAGGACTAGGGCTGACTCGAGTCCGATACCACGGTCAGCCCCCGTAACGAATGCGACGCGATCGGCGAGTGAGAACTCCTGCGAGAACAAGCATTGTCTCGGTCACTGGTGAACTACTTAGCACTCAGACCACTGAGAGGAGCCAACAACGTACGTGCGGGAGACGATCTGTTGAGGACTCTAGCAACTCCCATCGGCGGAGAGTTGACAGCTGGCGTGCTCAATGCACGGGAACGGTGGGCTAACCGGACCTGAGCTGCCATAGACCTGCCGCTGAAGAGAGACATGGTTACAAATTCACCAATCTGCCTGAAATCTGCTGGATAATTGAACTTCGGAAGTGTATCGCATCGCCGGATAGTGTTGTAAAACTGCATATTCAGCCACTGTTCGTGAACCTATCACCACTCATGGGATGTCGTGAGCTGTGAGAAGCGTATTCGGGGCTACTGAAACATGTCCACCGTTACGTCACGTCAAGTCCTTCTCCTTCTTCCGTCGCTGCTTCACGCCGAAGCAGATCTGGCATGCGTATCTGGCGTTGTTCATTGAAGTGCACCATTAATACCTTTAAGCTCTGTTCTATGTTCCAGGTTTACTGTACGGATCACCATATCTGATGCCCGCCGCTCACGATGATGCTAAATTCAAGAAGTGAGTGCAATTGTCAGTAGTGGCATTATCATCGTAGAGAACTTAAGACGCTTACTCGCTACCCGTGCAGAACGAGCTGGCATCGCTTGCAAGCCAAGCAACTGCTCCGCGCAGCTCCTCCGGACGCCCAATTCTCCCTAAGGGGTTCGCAGCACAATACTTCGCTTTCAACTCAGGGTCCTGATCGAGAAACGCGGTGAACCTCCACACACAGCCATGTCAGCATCTGAGGTCAGGCAAACTTGTTGACATGACGTACTGTGTCCGGATGATCCCAGGGCTGAGAGTATTGACCCGGATGCCCTTGGAGCCTAACTCGCATGCCATGCTGCGCGCCATCTGCAGGATAGCCGACTTCGTCGAATGATAGGAAACACTGAGTAAAACGGGCTGCCCCGGCAAAATCCGGTTAGTTTGTCAGGAAATGCTCATAGACAGTATCGCATACATACTTCGAAAGCAACGCTCCCACAGATGCTCGCGATGAACACGATGCTCCCACCGGTATTGAACCGAACCATCTGACGCCCCGCTGCCTGCGCGGTGAACAACATGCCCTTGAGGTTGACATCCACTACCTAGAGAAGGAGGTGCATGGTAAGCAGCGTATCTTAGATTCTCAATCCCAAAAGGAGGGTCTTGCCTCTTGGAATTGCGCGTCAGGGTACTCCAGCGATGGTGTGATTCCCTTGAAGATGCCTGCCGACGCAACGCACACGTCCAGCCGTCCCTCCCTATCACCAATGGTCTCTCCGACCTTCCACATGTCTTTCTAACAGATGTTGTCAGCAGGCTGCCAATTATTGAAGCGAGCTTGGCGATTTACCTGGTCCCGCACGTCTCCACAAATGTACCTGAAGCTTCCTAAGCCCATCTGGGCAACCATTTCGCTCACCCTGCGCCACTCTTCTCCGGGTTCCTCGTGCACGTCAAGACAGTACACAGATCGTGCGCCTGCTTCCGAAAGAGCCAAGGCTGATTCGAGTCCGATGCCACGATTTGCTCCGGTGACGAGTGCGACGCGGCCCGCGAGGGAGAACTCTTGTGTAAACAACGTTGGACCTGATGCTTATCGAAACGTTGATGATGAGTTGATGATAAGAAGGGCTACACAATGGGTGTAGCAGTCAAGGACGTACCTGTAGAAGATGCAGCCAACGCTCGCGCTACTCCGACGGGGAAAGACGTTCCGTCTGTGTTGATGGTTCGAGTATGATGGAGACTGATGCTGCTTGGACGGATTAGGCGTTTGCCCAAGTAAAGACTGGTACGACTCAATCGAACTCTGAAGGTTGACATGGCGAGCAAATAGTCAGGGACGGCAGGGCGGCAGGGGTAGCAGTAGTACTATTCCACGCAAGGCCT